AAATCATTGATTTCTATCCACCCAGGTTACTTATTCTTTTCTGCTATTCTTTGCCGAGTGAATCCTCCTTACCCTTTTTCAGTGCCTTGAATTTTATTTACTTAGTTGTGTATCAAATATGTGCGGCCACCCACCTCACAAGAAGCGACTGCATACAACGAAAGAAGTATAAAAATAAACATCAAACACAGACACGCCTGAGATTCTATCAACAGTGAATTCTTTTCCTTTTGAATTCTTTGCTCTTCATTTAGCTCCTTGATCTCACCTGGAGCCAAACATTAATTTGATCTACCTGTTAATAAGTGTTTAATTGTAGTTGTCATTTCACTTGTTAAGTCGATGACTGTAAAATCAGGAATCCAGGCAGTTGAAATGAATATATAGGTTTATTTCAGGCTGAGGCTCTCTACAAGAATCTGAACTACTAGTGGCCAAAGCAAATTGGTGGTAGATAAGAGTCAACGTATTAAGAATCAAGGTGGGCTGGACTTCTATCTCTTGTGGGTGCCAAGGGACTCAAGACTGATGATGCATTTGGCCCCTCCTTCGAGCTTAACTTGTCTGCTTCTTTTTCATTTTCTCGCTTATTCTTTCCACAGGACCTTTATTTAAATGCTGGCGGTGTGACTGTATCTTATTTTGAATGGCTGAAGAACCTGAACCACGTCAGCTACGGCCGCTTGACCTTCAAGTACGAAAGGGACTCAAACTACCATCTACTAAGTACGTTTAATGGGTTCTGTCCATAATACAGCCTTCGCCCACTGGTGGGCATGTCTGGGCTCCTTGATCACTTTCAGGGGCACACTTTGCCCAATGGTTTTAGCAGGTTTTGGTTGGAAACAAGACTGGTGGGTTTTTGGCCTTGTGTTGTTGAATGTTTTTGGCAGATTAATGGATTTAAGAGGAAATCCCCCCCCCCTCCATACGTGGAAGTAGATCTACCTTGGCAGCACATTAAAAAAGGAAGTTGATTCTACTCTGAGAAGAACTGTCTTTTGATTATCCAGTTAGTTCCCTTGGCCAGGAGTTTTAACTGGCTGTTTTCTTTCTTTTAGTGTCGGTTCAGGAGAGCTTGGAAAGAAAGTTTGGGAAACACGGGGGAAGTATTCCGGTTGTGCCTACTGCAGAATTCCAGGATAGAATATCTGTAAGTAGCTCTTGCAAAATTTTATTACCTTAATATGTAGATCTAAGCAAACTTTCCATCCTGCAGCAACAAAACCCACAGGGAAATCTGAAGGAAGGAAGCTAAAATGCTGCATTTAACTCTGTTGAAAGCTGAAGTTTTGGCTTAGTTCGTATTTATAATAAATTAGCTGATAACCCGGCGTTGTAAATTAGCTGATAACCCGGCGTTGTAAATTAGCTGATAACCCGGCGTTGTA